TCGCTAATCACTTTATCAGTGAACGAAATCCCGCACGCTGAGGTCACCATGCCATAAATATGTAAAGTCAATTTTTGAACTATAATAATTTAAAACTACTGAACATAATTCATTATAATTTCGGATCCTGTATTTCACATATCTCATCTCTAAATATTGAAAACAGCATTCAAAAATATTGTATAGTTTTCCCGTTATCGTAAAATAACTGACGCACCTTTGTTTCATTCCGGTTCCCACTTCCTACTAACTCCGTGTGTTACTATACAACGCTCATTCAGCACCGCGTGAATTACGACCTTTGTGAACAACGTTCTCTGCATGACGTTTTGAAAAAGCAGAATCCGGACATTGTGATTGGTGCTAACGCTCCCATGTGGTCATTTTCTGGGAGATCCGATCTTAAGCTTTGTTGTCATCTTTGTTTGGAGAAAATCCACTCATTTATTGATATAGTACAGCGAGTTTAAAAAGTTCAGTAATTTTTTTTGAGGTCCGAATCGTTCGCGAACAAGGACGGCGGCTAGAGATATTAAAATGTGTCTTTCAATTGCGTGTGGCGGTCGGTGCTAGGCCCTTCGCCGCAGAGCGTAGACTTGGTGCAGTGTAATTAGACACCGCCTCAACATCGTAATTTCATAGGGTTATGAATCTTCTAACGATTCTCGTCTGATCGTGTTTCCAGGCCTAGGTGAGGTTGCGTTCTATTGCTAATTATATATGGTATGTGCACAACTGCGGTGTAATTCTTATTTTAGGACTGTAATGTTTATTTAATAACTTTACTTAAGTTAATGTTTTAGGTCTATCATTTTCGATGTTTTCTAAAGCGGTTCACGCTAGCTAGGGGTAGGCTTAGGCCTATGCGTTTCTATAGACTATATACTATCAATTAAAATATTAAAAAGGGCCAATGCCTGTTATATGGCTAGTAACTAATTATTATATTCTGCACATATACATTTTCTTCTAATAGGCCTATTAGGCTATATATATTTTTATAAAGTACGTTTTTATTACTATAATTCAATTAATTAATGGTGTATGCCTAGGCCTAGCCTATTAATTATATGTATGTACTGTACATGTGAATATTTTTCTTGTTCTTGCTGAAGTTTGACTTTCTTGTAGAAGTGTTTATTAGTACAGTTGAAGAAAATAATTTTTTTTTTTTTTTTTCAAAAAAGTACAAAATTAATCAAGAATGGACTTGTCTTAGAACTTCATAAATTTCTACTTAACAGGGGTACCAAGCTATTTTTGTAGCAAAAACACTAGTTAAAATATGCCCACAGGAAGATGTCAAAGAAGATGCGTTGCGTATGGCTGTGCAAAGGCTAGTGTGTTTGTCATCTCAAATTAACACGAGCACTCCCTCGTTAGTTGCTATGTCTACATCATCGAAAATACAGTAGTCCAATATTTTACGAATGCCCGCATAGGAACCTTGGCCCTCGCAGAGGTCTGGTTTCTTGTTATAATTACCTTAATATCAAATATCATCACTTAAATTTAATTTAGGTAGGCTTCCATCATGGATTTGAATGTTATTGTACAAGGTCATTGTTTTTAATGTTTATTTCTTACAAACAAATAAAAATGTAAAGTAAATGTTTACATTTATTTCTTTATTTCGGAAATGTATTCATATAGAATAGCTTTAAAACACAATTAAAAAGGACCAACAATTTATGATAAAAAAAACCACATTATTGCCAATAGAAATACAGACGTCTTAATTTTTTTGTTGACTTTTACGAAAAACTTGGTTAATGAGATAAAAAGCGGTTAATGAGATACAGATTTTTGAATATTTATAAACTTGGGGAAAATACATAAAAAGGGGTAGGTTGGGGAAATGTATAGTCGAATGCAACAGCCTAATGTGAAGTAGTGGGTTTTAAATGTTATCATGATTTTAAAAATACATCAAACGATGCCGACATTATTATTTTTTTAATTACTTTCATAATTCTTTGTAATTTCTTTAATAATACCAATAACACGTGACAGTAATAATTAGAAAAGAACTATACATTTTTCTGTTTTTCTTTTGAAATGTTTCAAACTAAATATTTCATAATTTGTTTTATATATAATATAATAGAAACAAAACAATGTGTAGTGGTATCTAGCAAGATAACACTGAGGGCGCCAAACTGTTACATGCAAAGTTGGATACGAGACGAGTTCCTGTAGTTTGTCAGACTAATTTATTTTGTCACTTCGCACCGACCTGGTGACTGAATATAAATGTAAAAAATATAAGATACAATGCAATAATAATAATATTAAAAATTAAAAACAGATCATCAATACAACCTCAATCAATAATAATACTGTACTTTCAATAAAATCCTCACTGAGAAACCATAATATGATGTAAAGAGACTAAACTCTAAACATCAAGTCTGTCGCGCTCTCTTTGGGGTTCTGAAAAAACTGAAGAAAGAAAGAGGTGTGGGAGGAGTCAGAAAAACATGCATTTTGACCATGATGCCATCAAAGTAAAAATTGAAGGCACATTGTGAAAGCAAACAGTCTCAGCTATAACATACTCCAATTTGGGAGGCGATTGATCAACAATAAGGGAGATACGTTCAAGTAAATATAAAAATTATGACATTATAAATAGAAACTTTTTATCTAGCCAATACCATGAGTGGCTTTTAGCCTTGTATATGTGATTATAAAAAAAAAGTACTGGTCATGTCTTGAAAGGGCATAAGGTGGTTCCCATCTAAAGCGGTGCGAAAATTGTCCCCGAACGAACGAAAATTTTTGTGTTCTAGACGCCCAAACATAACATTTTAAGCATTCTTCGCTATCATTTTTTTATTTTTCTCTCTTTTTTTCTTTTTTTTCTTCTTTTTTTTACCTCCCAAAAGGGGGGGCCGGGCCGCCCCCCCCCCTAAATCCACCCCTGAATGTTCACAATAAAGATCTAATAATAATATATCGAAGAACTATTAATATTTAACAAGTTCAATTACAGTATACCTATCTATCAATCAGTAACCTGTATTACTGTATAATTAAGTTCTGGCCTCAACCTCTGATGTTTTCTCTGAGAAAATACTGCACTTTAGTTTATTAATTGTTATTTTACGCTTCTGAAGTTTTAGTTCCATAAGCTGATTTCAAACAAGGTAGCAGTTAAATATTTACTCTCTATAAAAAAGGAAATTATGAACATATTTGTTAATGCTATAGTATTGTTATTTGTCATTTGTCGCATTTCCTTTAGAGAGTTAGTAAATGACCTGATCAAAAGCAAAAAAAAAAAATACTGTTATCCAAACCCATTATCCAACAGCATTGTCCCTAATACTAGTGCACAATAGAAGAAATGTAACCAACATACATCCCCTTAGCGAATCTTAGCAAAATTCACCATCTTCCACTATTTTTAGCGCATTCTTGTACCATTACCCATTGCCCTATTGAATAAACTGGATATGCAAATGAATTTACATGCTAGAGAGCATTGTTTACTGCTGTTCTTATGGTATTATCGTAGCATTGCTCTGATTTTGTATCACCAACTGGTGTTCTCCCCAGGCCATTGAAACATCATGGTTCCATGATGCTTGGGACTTTCCCCATAATGCTTGACAGTTAGCTATGATGCTTGCAACATCTTCCACGATGCTTTTATATAGTCTTAAAGTGCAATTTAGGACATTTCAATGAATCCTAATTATTAAAAATACCTTGTGTCAGTCCCAACTGTGGTGGACTTCGACACTTACCATGACACTTGCTCATGATGCTAGGGAGAACACTGCCAACTCTGGTGGTAACTGGGCAGTACACTGTGATACAATCCCCAGGTACTCTTTCCGACTAACAGTTTAAATGTTTAATCCTAAAGACAGTGCACTATTGAAACTTGCATTTCAGCCCTCCAGCTGAAACAACAAGGAGAGCAGTGATGGGAAATAAGCCGAAGATGTAGAGAACTCCACGGTGCAGTGTCTACCACCAGTTTAGCCAACTAAACTAAGTTGCTCTAAAAATACCAAAATGAATAAAATGAAATTAGAAAAATATTGTTAAAATAGGGAAATTTATTTATATTGCATTGTCAGAAATAAAGGAGATTCTGAATGTAGGCCTGTCAGGAATTTTGGCTTTAAAATTACCTGCCAAAAGTAGTCCACATAAACCAAAATCGGTCCGGCGTCTAGTAGTTATAAATTGTATTTTCATAACGGTGTTCATATTTTTGTAAAAATCAAGTGATAGATAAAAATCTTATCCCTCATTATATAATACTGTTTTCATTTGTCATTTGTGAAATCATAGATGAAATTAAGCAGCTTCGCACCCAGCAAACCCTTTGGTGTAAAAGTACGAAAAGGAATTAAACGATGTGGTCTTAAATCGTGTTGGTCTGTTTTAGTTTGTTTTTTACCTTTTTTGTTTTGGTTGTGTGTGCTTAACGTCGCGACGAAGTACATGCATATAATTTAAAGAATTATGACTCCTTTATTTCATGTATTAGAATATCTAAATACCCCATACAATAATCCGTAATATTTAAAACTAATAAAACAGTCTTGTGTTCCATTTTAAGTCCTAGATCGCCTAGGTCTGGAAACGCATTATCAGGTGGCTTTGGTAAAACATGTCTTCAAAAGCTTCATACAAATCATTCTGTCACTGCAAAAGACTTTGCAAGTGTAGGAGAAACAAAATTACTTTCCTCCACTCCACGGGAAAAGCAATCATACCCTACGAGCAGCAGACAAGTTACATGTGAAGTGGCCAGGCCAACTTGGACCAATTTCATCCAAGCGGGACTGGTTTTAGCGGCTAAAATCAACCTGGAGAACCGATTTTAGTAGTCCGGCGGACCGATTTTGGTGTCCAAAATCTCTCCGCCGGATATTTTTTGGCCCGGACCAATTTTGGTGTGAGAAGCCTATGTTATACAATTGCGGATGCCTACTACCGTTGGATTTAATTATGTTACTACTGGTACTAATACTTTCTAGATCCATGTACTGTTGAACCCTGTGAAAATGGTGGTACTTGTAATATTGTTAACGAAGGCTACAATTGTAGTTGTACTGATGATTTTCTTGGATTCAATTGTTCATGTGAGTTAATTCTAATATTATATACAGTGAAAGATAGGCTTACATTTTACAAGAATAAAGTATACCATTTCTTAAATAAGGCTAATTTTGATTTCATTTAAATTATGTGTCTGCTGTCAAGACACTATCACTATTTTATAGACAAAATGCATATTTTATATAATTATATTTGAGGATTTGAAGTTTTACTTTGTTTTGTGTGTTATCTTCTTTTTATTTTGATGGTTTGTAACTGTACCACTTTGAAAAACGGTATTCAAGTACTGAAAGTGCATGCAGTATAGAAAAGAATAAATAATAATCAGCTGTTATTCCTGTAATAAATGAGTGATTTTTATGAATAGTCTGCATTCATGAGGTTGGCTGTGACTTGAATAAGGAGGACAATTTAACTATTTATGAGAATGGCACATGTGGATGTACCTGTGGAGAAGGTAGATACATTTGTGACACCAATAATCATTGTGAAAGTGAGTACAAGTTAAGCTACTTACCCAACTTTTTCAGATATAATATTTCTTAAGAATTCCAATATAGTATAGTGATAATGTGGAAATATAATGTTAGCTATAGTTCACCAGCATAGCCAGGTGAAGGGAAGTTGGAGGGAAGTTAGCTTTGCATGTTATGAGAAAGGGTATAGAAGCAGTCTTATGAAAGTTGCACCCATAAATTCTGACCATTGGCCAGAATATGTCTCTTCAATTTCAAAAATAGAGATAAAAATTTGAATTAAGTTCAATATAGAATTACCCACCTGCCTGTAACTCCAAAATTTAAAAAAAAAAAGTTGTGAGGATAGTGAGTAAAAACATGGATATATAGACTACTGTACTGCTTGTGATTGACACTTAAAGCTTGCTGCATTAAATGTCACATTCATTGAGCTTTGTAATTTGCTTTAACAAAAAAAATGTTGCTTGTCTCAGCTTTTTGAGCTCTAAGTATTTGTTGATATGGTATAGAGAAACCAAAACATGAACATAATTATCAATTAATCATTTCATTATATGGTGCAATTCCAACAGTTATTTGTGGTATCATGTACACATGTCACTGGTCTGCAGTCATAACTTCACTTATTGCCATACGCTGATATTTTATAACATAAAAAACATTTTTTAACATATTTTTTCACCTTGTTGCTTCAACAACATATTTATTATAACTGATTATTTTTGTGTGTTTATGTGGAGTTTAAGTTGATAACGTAAACTAATGTTTTTACTATATTTTCTGAACCCATGGTCAATTGAGACAGGTAGATTTCAACATTCATATCATGTTTCGGGAACTTTACCTTGAATACCTTGGTTCGGATGCTTGCTTTCTATCCTATGATCCTGGGTTCAATCCTGTCAGTGTTCTTGTGAAAAGAATTGCCACTTACAAGTTAGTCTGACTGTTATCGCTATTGGCATTCTATGGTACATGTGTGCTGAAAGAAGCAATATCAAAGAAAGTAAATAAATCTAATGCTCTAAATGTCATATTTCTTATAAAACAATAGTAGCTGCATTTCAGTAATTCAATACATTGGGTAATAATGTAACAAGGAAATTTATACCTTCGTGTCAAGATTGTCATGGATCCTGTTTACTGTACACCGTTTTGCTGATCAATTTTAGGATTTGTAGTATTTACTTGTAGTATATAATGCATGTTTATTATTGTTTCCCTATTACTCTTACATTTTCATGTTTATGTTTAACAACATTTAAAATGTTTTATTAATTTTTTTAAAAAGGAAACTAAATATTTCATATTCTCCTTTCAAATGGTGATTGGTTTACTCACATATAAATTTAATCCATGAAATGTGCGCTCTCACCATTAAAAGTATAATAAATATCTTTCTAATGTAAAATAATTATTTTCTTTGTATGTTTTGTATCCCAAGTTTGGTTGTTGCTGTGTATTTATCTACACATCCCAGTTTAGTAATTTTAATTAATATTTTCTTAATTCTCAAGTATTAACCATCCCTACATACAGTGAAGGCAAGTATATAATTACATATTTGTATTGGTACTTTCTATAGATCCATGTGCTGACAAGCCCTGTCAAAATGGTGCCACTTGTTTAGTTGTTGGGGGAGGCTACAATTGTAGTTGTACCAAGGATTTCAGTGGACTAAATTGCTCAAGTGAGTTAAAATGATAAACATGGTAGGTTATGGAAAAAGCTCTTTCTGAGCCTGAATTTTGATGGAAATTCTTGAGTCCAATTCTAGAATCTTGCTGCTAGTTTAATGGTTTTGATGTTCTATTCAATAATCTATAATGATTCCTTGTTTTCCTTTCCTGCATCGGTTTAATTTCTGGACCATTGTTTTTTGGATGTGTGGGAAATTGTTCCTTTTATATA